CACAGACAGTTTCTACGTTGCTTTGGGGAGGAGAGGAAAGAGGGGTTCATTGGAGCAGCAAGGCAACACGTGGCAATGTGCATAACCTTTGGTAAAAGCAGATGGCCGATTGATAAAATATTACTGTATTATGACATGCTTATGCATATATATCCATTGTTAGTAAATAATGTAAAAACTTTTTTTAAACTATTAAAAAAAAAAATCTTAGTTTGTTACAATGGTGAGATGCTTTTAGCCATGGAGTTTCGAAAGCATTTTAGCTGTGTAAGCATTGACGAATTGAATGCTGGATGTTTCTCCATTTCTGTCGCCTTCAGAAGCTTAAGTGGTAGCTACATTTCTGACTCTTGATCTATATTTTACAAATTCTTTTCTATGTCACTGTAAATACATCCAAGACCCTGCACCTTATGCAGAGAATGTTTACATTAAAAAAAAAAAGTTGGCTTTTTCACTGCGCTGCTCAGATCCTGTTATGTTGAAATGAAAGTAGTCTCTGTTAGGAAAAAGGGGCTTTTTTTTCTTTGCCCTTCACCACTTCCCCTGTAATTCTGCCTCCCTCCTGGATGATGGCTGGCAGCTCTTAGACAGCTTGTGCTCTCCTGGAGTAGCTTGTAGACGTATTTGAGAAAGGGGTTTTTGAAAACTTGCTTTGGGCGGAGGGATGAGCTTTGTATGCTCTGCAAACTTTCTTGGAAAAAGAAAAAAATCTGCTTCAAACCCACTAGATGTTGGTGGTCTGCCGTGCAAGTTAACTGATCTAGGAAGCCGTTGAGTTAAACTTTCCCGCAACCGTGCTTCTGTCTTCTCCCAAAGAAGATGAATGTCCTGCTATTATATCTGCAGCTACAAACACTTCTGTTGGTTAATGACTGTATATACAAGTCTGCCTGCTTTAAGACTTCTCCTTTTCATGAGGCGTTTTTGATTGCTCTGTCCTGCAAATGGCTCTCCTCTTCCATATTTCATCCACTTAGATACTCCGCAGCCGCGCGTGTTGCTCTTGTTGATAGGAGATGGAGCTACAGCTCTCCTTCCGAAGGAGATACGTGCCACTGAGCCTACAAAAGTCAAGTAGTTGGAAGATGAGGTGTTTTAACCAGCGGGCTTCTTACCGTGGACTTTGAGACTTTTAATAAATGTGTCCACTGGACTCTCTGTGAAAGAGTATGTTCCTGCCCTCCGAGCAGGACCACTTGTTGGGTATTTATCCGGTAGAACTCTGTATTTGTATATTTTACAGATGAAGACCATTTGATCAGAGCCATGGGGCAAATAGAGAACTTAAAATCCTGACTCCTGCCTTAAAACTTTTAGCTCATCTTGAGCTCCAAAAATTCTGCACCTGCTCGTTCCCAAGTCCCTTTTTCTTTAGGAAATTTGAGTCCAGTCAAAGGCTGGAGACAGTTTAAGGAAATTGAAAACAAAATAAATTTTAGCTGATGGCTTTATTAAAATAACTAACTGGTCTTGTATTAAAAACCCTATTTGTGCCTCTTTTAAGTCCAGGGAATGTTTAAAAAGTGGAGGTGGCTTTTGAGCAATGATTGGAAATGACTGCATTAGCTGGCAATTTGTAAGACCCTTGCTTTCATACGCTCTGAGCAAGAGACTTCGGTTTGTGTCCTCTCTGCCTCATGGTAATGGCTTTCAAAGATGGCTGGTACCATCAAATTTGTACTTCTTGAATAAATATCTTCATTTTTATGGTAAAACTTTTTGTATGCAGTTTGTTTGTGTCTGCCATGTAACAAAAAATCATATTATGTAGGATATGGTGCTAGATTTGGTACTGACACAGAAAATACACAGCTCCAACACACACTGAAACAAGGACGAGAGGATTCCAGCGATGTGACCCTTTTTTTTCCCCCTGTAACTTTTATGAAGTGTTTTAGAATCAAACACACCAGTTGTGTAAAACTTGCTTTTTAACTTTTTTCCCCCTCCCTGGCTCCTTCAGTCAATGAAGAATTCTAGGCCGATACAAAGATGCTGTGAACATCAGGTAACTTTTAAAATGCATTGTGTATTTTTATGTTGTACCTCTGTTTCTTGATTGACATATCGCAGTAGTGTGTGCACAGATTTTTAATCAGCTGCAAAGCACAAACAGGTTGTCTTTAGACTGTTAAATTATGTGATTTTTACTTTTTTTAACCTAGGGGAGATCTTTTACCATCAAACCATCATGAACTTCTATCAGAAATGCTGTACAAAATTTCCTGTATTTAAAACAAAAAAGAGAAACTCCCCCCCCCGCATTTAAAAAATAAAAGTAATCCTGGAAATGCCATGCCTTAAGAAATAATCTCAGTGTTGTTTTTCTTTTTACATTTCTTCAATAGGGCTTTTAATTCTGAGCTGGAGCTCTACAACATTTTCATTACCTGTCTGATACCCTAGAGACAGATTTTGGTAATCATTTTGGGGGTGTGACGATGTTTTTATCTTGCAAATCAGGTGTGGGATCCGTGGAGAAGGCAGGGCCTGGAGCGGCGTTCAGCCAGCCAGCGTGAACCTCCTCTGCGCCCGGCTCCTGCAGATGCGCTTCTGGCTCCTGGGTGAACGGTGCAAAATAATGGATCTGCATAATTGTCCTATAATTACATTAACTGACATGTTGTCTTAATTCAGGTCACCACTTTTATAGTCTTAATTAACTACCTAATGCATCAGAGGAGCATGAATGATTTTTTTGTAGGCCACTTTGGTCTAATCTTGCCACAGTTAAACATTTCAATTTTCTTTTTTTTTTACCTTAGGACAATTTCACGGTAGAATTTGAGAGAGAAGTTACGAAGGAAATAAGCATGTGATTTTCCTGGAACTTTTTAAGGTTTTCCCATATATATATATTTTCCTTTTATGTGTGTGAATATATATAACCTCTTTTATATATACATATTCCCTTTTGTGTGTGTGTATATATGTACATATATATATGTAAAATAAGAGGCGAAGGCTTGTTTGTAGCCATTTGCTCTGACCCGTGAGACAACCCTGCTTCCACCTCCCCCAGCATGGACAGAGGTGTTCTCGGAGCTGATCTCCTCAGACACCAGGATTATAAAACTACGTGTGATCTTTCTTTACCTGCCTCCTCGCTGAGCCAAGCGCAGTCGCTGGTCAGGTCGTACGAGGGACGTCGGTCTGGAGGTGTCGCACGTGTGCGCACCCGCGCCGCGCCGGCCTTACGCTGCGGCTGTAGTGCCTTTTGGTGTATGAAGTGGGGCGGGGAGCTCCAGGCTGCCTCTTGACCAAAGCAAAACCCCAAAGGCTTCTAGGTCAAAAGTGCGCAAGACTTGAAATTTTCCCAAGTCGCCGCTGCAAGCAGCCAAATCAAGGGCAGCTTCACCCCTGCAGCATACGAGCTTAGACTATGATTTATCGAGCTATGTTATATAGATTACGGTGTTTCTAATAACATAGAACATCGTTACTGTTTGTATTGTGCGTACTTCATTGGCCTGTATCTCGCTATATGATGCTGCATAACGTGCTATGCCCAGCATGGGGTCTCTGCCCCGTGGTGGGCGTCGCACCCTCGCTCCCGGCCCGTGCCAAACGCTACTTGCTTTCTGCTGCCCAGAGCTGCGTCCCGGTTTGGCTAACGTGCCCGTCGCGCTCTGCGCTCCTGCGGAGCGGTGCTGCGTTAGTACCTGGTGCTCTGCTCCAAAATCGGCACCGAGGGAAACGAACTTCAACCGCGGTCCCAATTTTGCTGCTGCTTAATCCTGGGACGACAGCCCCGGTCGGTGCAGAAACTCCGGAGTCACCCTGGATGCTGTAGGGAGCACCTGGCTGAACGCTCGGAGTGGCTGGTCCCTCTGAACCTGGGCTAAAAATACCGAGGTAACTCGGGGAACAAGCCCTGCGCTCTGCAAAGAGTGGGTCGTCGTGTTCTCTCTTTCTCTGAATAACCCCGGAAGGTTGGGATTTCAGCCGCCTAGTTTATTTTCTCTGGATTCGGAGCAGTTGCAAAGGTCTGAGAGGTGGGATGCCGCCTTAGAGGCGTGCCGAAACCTCGCTTCATGGGAGGTCAGCGGCGGCGCTTGGAGACTGGAATTTTCTGTTCTAATGAGTCCCTTACGCTGCAGCCGTGCTGCCTCGCTGGGGAAGCTCTAATGGCAGCGAGTTGGGAGGAGGCTCAATGGTGCGATGCCCCGTCTGTGAAGTGAGAGGGGGGAAATAAATCCACTGGATTGCTGTGCCCAAAGGGTAAACAGTCAATATTTAGCAAGAGAAACTAAACTGCCTCTCTTGCTTTCTCTCCACATGGACTTAATTAGGTGGTTTCGTTAAAGCAAACGGCGTTTCCTGTCGTGGGGCTGTTGCTCGCGAGCGCGGCAGCACGGATGCAGGGAGCTGCCCGAGCCTGGAGCGCGCAGGCGGGGATGCAGAGCAGAAGGCGTGGGAGCAGAAAGCTGCCGGCCTGAGTGGCTCCAGCCCCGGGGACCGGT